GGGGGGGGACCTTGTGGCTAATAGCCACTGATCGACCCCTGCCCCATATGTTTATCCAATGCCCTCTCGAAGCTGTCTATGCTTGTAGCTGCCACCACTTCCTTCTAAGCCTACTGCCCATTAATTTCATTAAGTGCCCACAAGTTCTTGAACTGTGAGAAAGCAAGAAAAGTTCTTATTTTTCTACCTTCTCTGTCTCATGCATAATTTTATAAACCTCTGTCATGTCACCCCTCAGTCCTCGTTTCTCCAAGCTAAAAAGCTCCCACTTGTTAAACCTTTCTTAAAAGGGAAGCTATTCTGTCCCTTCAATCATTTTAGTTGCCCTTTTCTGCACCTTTTCCAATGCTATATCTTTTTTGAAGTGCCATGACCAGAACTGTACGCAGCATTCCATAGATTTATACAGGGGCATTATATTACTGGCTGATTTGTTTTCAGCCCCCATCCTAATAAACCCCAACACAGCATTTGCCTTTTTTATTGCAGTGGCGCCCTTAGTCAACATCTTCAGTGAGTTATCTACCAGGCATCAAGAAGCCCCTCTGTGTGTGTTGGGCTGGATGGGCCATTGGCCTGATCCAACATGGCTTCGCTTACGTTCCATTATAATTCTAGGAGACTAGAGTTTGGCAACCCTAGTAGGTTTGCCAATTGCCAGCTCTGGGTTGGGAAACGCCTAGAGATTTTGTGGGGGGTGGAGCATGGGGGGGGGTAATACCTAGAGATCCCCAGGTCCCACCTGGAGGTTGGCAATATGCACCTTTGACTGTCTTCCATCCAAGTACTGACCGTGCCTGACCCTGGTTAGCTCCCAAGCCCGGGTCAAGCTGGGTTATTCAGACGGCTTTTGCCGCTTTTCTATAATCAACTCTTCCCCTTCCGCCTTACAGGGACACATTTTTGGCAATTATTGGGTTAAAGTCATAAAAATCCTCTTCCTAGAGGGTCGGAGGAAGTAAAAATGGTGAGCAGGAGGCGGGGGGGGGGAGAACCAAAACAGTGGAAGCTTCCCGCCCCCCCACCGAAGGATCCGCTCTGATTTCCCCCAACTTCTGTGCTGCAGAAACGAGAGAGGAGGGTGCTGGCTAGGGGTGTGGGGGGCATGCAAGCGGAGGTGAGACGTATTTGCAGGGCGGAGAGAAAAGGAAGCACAGAAGCCTTGCTCTTCCCTCCCCCGGTCAGTTAGCGGGGTGGCGCTGGGTTCCCTAGAGGAGGAGATCTGGAGAAGGAGGAAAGAGCTCTGCAACTGTACCCTCCCCCTTTCTAGCAAAGCCTCTTTTTTTTGCTGCTTCTTCTAGATTGGGGGGGGGGGAAGTCCCTCCTCCTCCTCCTCCTCCTCCTCCTCCTCCTCCTCCTCCTGTCTGGGACATCCTCTGAAACCCCTGAATTCTCAATTCTGCAGGGGAGTAAAAGGCAACCTGATTCCTATGTCGACAGGGTGAAAGCTGACTCAAGTGGTTGGCTTTTCTTCTGGCATAATTATCTTTTGTTTGGCACCTGGGTCATTTTTAAATTGTATTTATTTATTTTATTTTACTTCATCTGTATCTCCCCTTTCTCTTCACTTGGGACCAATGTTCCCTCTAAGCTGTGGAGTCTTGTGAGCAAAAATTCTCCTTTGTGAGCTACTGGCATTAAAGTTATGAGCAAGCGATTTGGCTCCTGCATAAATTAGTTTGCTCTGGAGCCCTCCTTCCTGAGCTAAGACAAAAACGTGTGAGCCAGTAGCTAAAAAACTATGAGATAACTCACACTAACTCAGCTTAGAGGGAACACTGCTTGGGACCTAAGCAGCTTATACCATTCTCCACTCCTCTGTTTTATCCTCACAACAGCCCAGTGAGATAGGTTAAGCTTGAATGCCCCAAGGGTACCCAGGAACCATAAGTGGCAGGGTGGGGATTCGAACCTGGGTGTCCCAGAGCCTGGTCCAACATCCCAATCACTATACCACTCTGCCTCAACAGTTGTTTTATTCAGTTCTGTTCCTTCAAGGGGTATGTTTGGTTGCTTCTTTCAGCTGTTTTACTCTGTTTGCATCAGGAAAGTAATTGTATTAATGCTGTTGCTGCTATTTATTATTTATTAAATTCATTTGTACCTCACCTTCCTGCCCAATGGAAAACCAAAGCATCTTATAACCTTCCTCTCTGCTCATTTTATTCTCACAACAACCCTGTGAGGTAGGTTAGGCTGAAAGAGTGTGACTTGCCCATGGTCACCCAGCGAATTCCCATGGCATGAATGGGGACTGGAACCCAGGTCTTCCAGATCCTAGTCCAACACTCTGTGTTAGTAGTTCCGTATTATATTTTGCTTCTTAATGATGGTTGAACATTTTAAACCAAGAATGTTATGTGCACATTGATTTAATAAATATTTTTTTTAGAATGGATACACATTCAGATGCACGTGGCCAAAGATGGACTGTTTGCCTCTGTTGATTTTCATTCTTGTTCCAGTGTACGAGGCTTTTCTCCTGGGGGGAAAGCATTTGACGCTGCTTAGAAAATTCTAATCTCCTGTTTCATCCTTCTTTTCTAGCCAACAATGAAAATGGAGGTGCGAGGTACAGAGCCAGGGATGAGATCCCACAATGGAGAGAAAGCCCCTCATGTCAACCAAGCTGAGAGTATCCGAGAATTCTTGCAAAGGATCCCCATAAGTGAAGTTAAGCAAGAACCAGACGAGGGTCACCTTCAGCGCTGGGAGGTCCAGTGGCAGGGATTCCTGAAGACGGTGGAGTCCCCTCATTCAGACTGGGAGCTTCTACAGTCACCGGACGAGTCAGTCCACTGGGAGGATGCGAAGGGATTTCTGGCCTCCTTTGAGCAAGTAGCCAAAGCCTGCCGGTGGCCCAGGGAAGAGTGGGCGACCCGACTCCTGCCGGCATTGAGCGGCGAGGCCGAGTGGGCCTTCAGCAGGCTGCCAATCCGAGACAGAGAGGATTACAGGAAGGTGAAGGCAGCCATCTTGAAGGGGGACACCATTTGTCGGGAGAAGCTGCGCCAGCACTTCCGCCATTTCTGCTACCAGGAGGTCGAGGGGCCGAGAGGGACTTACCACAGGCTTCAGGAGCTTTGCGGCCGGTGGCTGAAAGTCAAGAGACACACCAAGGAGCAGATCCTGGAGCTGCTGATCCTGGAGCAGTTCCTGGCTGTCCTGCCCCCAGAGGTCCAGAGCTGGGTGAAGGAGCAGGGCCCTGAGAGCTGTGCCCAAGCCGTGGCTTTGGCTGAGGAGTTCCTGCAGATGCGGCAAGAGGCCAAGAGGCAGGAGAAACAGGTAAGACGGTTCCACTGTGGTATTTGGGGCCCTGATGTGGGGATGTCGGCTCTGCCTACCTCAAGAGGAGACGTAAAGAGTTGCTCTGCCCTCTGGAGTGAGACTGTTGCCCATCTGTCTGTCTTGAACAGTTGATCGTGGTGATTAACTTTTCTTCCACCATTTCATGAAGACGTCTATTGTCCAAAAATGGCCTTTAGCACTGTCTTTGTGTCCTGAAAAGGACCGTTGAGTGAGACAGGATGCTGGACCAGATGGACCACTGGTCTGATCCAGCAGGGCTCTTCTGTTGTTCTTATGACTTTACTCTTGTTGCAGGTGCTGATGCCGTTAGGGGAGGTGGCTGTGAGTTTCTCAGAAGCCGAGAAGCCTCCATCAGGCTTTGACCCCCAACTGTGTGCTGAGGCCAAGGAGGAAGACGATGGAGTTGCCCGCCTTCTGGGTAAGGAAGGGTCCCTTTTATGCTTGTGATCTGGGATGCTCTGAAGCTCCTTCCTGGTCTGACCTCAGCAGTGGCCCGTGAGGGAGCTCAGAAAATGTAGAAAAACATGTAAAGTTCACTAGCACCTACTCAGCTTTTTAGAAAGTAGGTGGAGCAATTGTAAGACAGGGCTTGTTATTGACTGTCCTCATTCAAACAAAAGGGGTTTCTACAGTGGCTGGACTTTCCTCAGTGAGTATAAAAGAGCAAGAGTCCAGGAGCACCTTAAAGACTAACAAAATATGTGGCAGGGTGTGAGCTTTTGTGAGTCACAGCTCATTTCTTCAGATACTCATGAAAGCTCATCCCCTGCCTCATCTTTTGTTAGTGTTTAGGGTGCTACTGGACTCTTGCTGTTTTTCACTGCTGCAGACAGACTAACATGGCTATCGATCTTGGTTTATTTTCTCAGTCAGTGTGTGGCTCCATTACACCTTCAGGCTTTTTTTTGTTCCCTCCCCACCCCAGTGTTTCCTTCATTTCTTATTATTCTCCTTCTGTGATTCTTTCACAAAAACAAGGAGGAAAGTATTGTGTTTGGCTCTGCTTCCTATGGCACCCATTTTGAGTTCGGCACTGCCCCCGTGGCACCCATTTTGGTGTGGCATTTACAACCCCCTGTCAAAATTCCAAAGGAGTCCACAGGCTGATAAAGACTGAGGACCCAGATCTCAAACACAGTATGCTCTTTCGGTATGTTTCTTATTCATATGCAAATACATGCCGATGAAATGAATTTGCCAATTAAAATTTATTTGATGAATCACTTAAGAATTATTTAAACTATTCATAATTTTTTACCAGACTATTTTGAATTACAGTACTTGCTCCCTGGAAAAGTCTCTGCATGTTCTTCCGTAGGCTTTTATATTCCTCCTTCCTCACAGAGACTTGTGGGGGATTACAAAATTACTTGACTGGGCCGATTTTATTTTACTTTTTTATTATTTTATTTTATTTGATTTACAAAATCTGTCTCCCGCTTTTCTGCCCGTATAAGGGCCACCAAGGCGGCTAACAGTTTAAAATACACAAGATAAAATCACATTTTGTATCCATTAAACTCAACTCTCCTCCCGAACGCACATCATTAAAATAATTATATTTTATTATAACATAATAATAATGTATTGTATTTTATTATAAAATAATAACTACATCGTTCAAATACAGATAAAACGTAAAAACAATACATACGAAATAAAATAACATACAAAACATAAAAACAAAATGGCTGCCATAGGAAGGGGAGGGGTCATTGAAGGAATGCTGAATGAATCAAAAATGTCTTCGCCCACTGGCAGAAGAGGGCAACAGAAGGGGACAGATGAGAGTTCCAGAGTTTGGTGCCATGACAGAGGTTGTCCTTACCAGTCAACTTTCCCACAAGGTCAAAGGGAAAGTAGCCACTGGGTTCTTCTCCTTCTTCCTAATGCCTTTGTTTCAACTTAAAGTTTTCTCCAGTGGAGAGCATAAATCCTGTTTGGGTTAACATAAGAACATAAGAGACACCAATGTTGGATCAGGCCAAAGGCCCATCTAGTCCAACACTCTGTCACACAGTGGCCAAAAATACCAGGTGCCATCAGGAGGTCCACCAGTGGGGCCAGGACATTAGAAGCCCTCTCACTGTTGGCCCCCCCAAGCACCAAGAAGACAGAGCATCACTTGCCCCAGAGCCCCTATAATAGCTAATAGCCACTGATGGACCTCTGCTCCATATGCCTATCTAATTCCTTTTTGAAGCCGTCCATGCTTGGTTTTCTTATACCTTCTGCAGGCCAGGGGTGGTTGACTGTAAATCAGGGAGAGAAATCAGCACCAGAAAACCCAGAGAGAGCTGGATTATTCGAAACAGCGATGGAAAACACTGAAGAAGCAGGCCCCCAGTGTGGTGTTCAGGTAAATGCCCCTGCAGATCTGCCAAGAGTCAAGTTCCAGCAAGAAACCCACCTGGGGGAGATCATGGATGGATCTGTTCCTTATGGAGGGGGCTACATAGACCTGGGAGGAATGGCAGTCCAGCAGAGGATCCATACCAGCAAGAGACACAATGCCTACGGTGCTTGTCGGAAGAGCTTCGGCCACAGCGGGAGTTCCATGAAATACAAGAGAATGCGGAAGAGGGGAAAGCCCCACAAGTGCTTGGTGTGCGGGAAGTGCTTTCTTTACAGCTCCGGCCTTGCCACCCATGAGCGGATTCACACCGGAGAGAAGCCGTATAAATGCTCAGAGTGCGGGAAGACCTTCATCTGCAGCTCAGACCGCAACCGCCACCAGAGGACTCACACGGAAGAGAAACCGTACGAGTGCGCAGACTGTGGGAAAAGCTTCCGGCAGAAGTTCAGCCTCAGCAGGCATCGCAGAGTCCATTCCAGCGAGAACCCGTATAGCACAGCTTCCGAACGCGGGGGAAGCTCCACCGTGAGCTGAAACATTTTTGGAGATTTGCCCGTGAGTGACTTATTTGTGGGGGGAGGAAAAATGTATTCAGAATGTTCATTAAAGAGAAAAAGGAACAAGATGTTTCGTCTGTAACCTCAATCCTGTTTGGGATTTGGGCCTGTTTTGGATAAGAGCTCTTATCAGCTCAAGGCATGAAAAGGAAACCAGAACTTGTCAGTGTGTGGTCTGAAAGTTCAGGACGGCCCTTGCAAATTTGGGACGTGCATTTGGGGACAGCCCAGGCAAGTTCAGGCCACGCAATTCAGGCCATTCCTTTCCTGTATAACAGGAATCAGACCTGCACCTCTTTGCAATTTGCTGACTTTTCTAGGTTGGGGGGGGGGCAGTGTGGAAAACATTGGGAGGTTTTTAGTTGTGCTGATTTCATCTCTTAGGGCTGTGGCTTAGTAGTTGAGCAAATGCTTGGTGTGTAGAAGGTCCCAGGTTCAATCCCCAGCCTCTCTAGTTAAAAGGACTGGGCCATTGGTGATGTCAAAGACCTCTGCTTGAGACCCTGGAGAGCCACTGCCTGTCTGAGTAGACAGTATTGGACCATGATGGACCAGTGGTTTGATTCAGTATAAGGCAGCTTCATAGGTGTCCAAACTTTCCGACTGAAATTACATGATACTGTTTTCTTTGCCTTTGTTTAAGTCTCTGAGCAGCTAGTAATTTTCTCTCAAGAGCCAGTGCTGGTGGCGGGATAAACTAGGGAGAATCTGCTAGCTCCTCGTGATGGACTTAGGGCTGGCGTCAGCATATGTTCAGGTGGGGCGGGTCCCAGGACTTCTGGGGAGGCCCACTGCTGCTGACCCCCATTAACACACCTCCCCTGGAACCCACCTGTGCCCATTCTCCCAAGTGCCCAGCAAAGCTCCCTCTAAGCCGTGGAGTCTTGTGAGCAAAAATTCTACTTTCTGAGCTACTGGCATTAAAGTGGTGAGTGAGCAATTTGGCTACTGCATGAATTAGTTTGCTCTGGAGCCATCCCTTCCTGAGCTAAGACAAAAATGTGTGAGCCGGAGGCTAAAAATACTGTAACTCAGCTTAGAGGGAACACTGGTGCCCAGAGTCATTGAGGAAAGATGTGGATGGTGCATAGAAGTGCTACTCCTGATAGCAATGGCAGCAGCATTCCCAGGTACATACACCGGCCAGGGGGGAAGATGGTGCAGACGGGTCTTTTCAAGCGGATGAAAGATGCATGGGCATGTGGTGGGAATACAGGTATGAGGGCGAAAAGGAGGGAATGGGGAAGGGGGACCCTGGTGGTGATGGGATGGAACTCCTGGGCACTGTCTGCTCAGCCCCCCCCCCAAAAAAAACACCCCTGGAACTGGCCCTAGACAGGCCAGTGAGATCTTTCCCACCATATCACTGCATTCACAATGACCTTAGTTCTCCTGTGTCTTTTCTTGCTCAGAGGAGAAGAAAATGATACTTGGGAATGTTGTTCTGTCCACACTTTCTGTGTCTTCTACCGGTGAGGAGGCCACCAGAGAACTCAAAAGGAGGCAGTTACCATCAACATCTATCTTGTCAGTCTTCCTTCGTTCTCCCAATTCCCTATGTGGTTTTTTTCCCAGACAGGCAGAGGAGAAGAAACTTGGACTGGCAGCAGAGGAACTAGACCAGGGGTGTCGAACTCATTTGTTATGAGGGCCAGATCTGACCTAAATGAGACCTTGTTGGGCCAGGCCATGTGCGTCATAAAATGTAATGCCAGGCAGCGGAGATATAAACTTTATAAAGGACACAAACACAAACGTTTTTTTTTGTTACTTAAAATAAAAACATGCTTAAAACATTAGCACTCTTGCAATATTTTGTTTATTTAACAGTGTCTGCTGACGGACACCTCTTGCTCTGAATTGTTGCATCAAAATGTCTGTGCTGTTGCAGTCTTCAGCATGCTGTTCGGGTGTGTATCTGTAAGCTGCAAACCTACGATGACGCAGCAGCAGCAGCAGAACTGGAAGAAGATGCAGAAGACAGCCTGTTCCACTGTGGGCTTGATAAAAGCCCTCCGGGGGCCTGATCCGGCCCCCAGGCCACATGTTTGACACCCCTGAACGAGACAATCCTCCTCCAACGGGCTGGAATCGGTCCTGAGCTGCCAGTTGCCGACTTCCGCTTTGTACTGTACTTCTCTTCCTACTCCAGTTTTGAAATGTTTTCGGGGGGACATAAGAGAAACCATATGTCAATATATATATATATGTATATTAAGCATGCAGCATCCTATGCTTAGAAGAATACACTTTCAGTGCTCTCTTAATTCAGTTAAAAATCTGCTAAAACAATTTTTTTCATGATGAAGAAAGATCTGCCTGGCTTATCGTGGCAGATCTGGAATGGAAACACGGCCCCTAGTACTGATTCAAAAGGATTTGCAGTACATTTATGTTGGTTCCAGCCCTCCTAACAAATGAGTTGGACACTTCTTGGTGCTTGGGGGGGGGGGAGCAACAGTGGGAGGGCTTCTAGTGTCCCAGAGGGTTGGGAGAAAGTGAAAATGAGGAGCAGGAGGCATGTGGAAAAAAACCCTCCAAAGAGTGGAAGCTCAGGTTTTCCCCCCTAAAGTGTAGTGGGTTAAACGCATGGAAAACCCGCAGAGACAGATGCAGTACTCTGCATGGTTCACTGGTACACTACAAAGACAAAGAGAAACAGCTGGCTGGCCAGCTATATGCATACCTGGGGACACACCCCTAGGTCCCGTTGGTGGGTTTAAATCTCCCGCCACGGTCCCATTGGTCCCCCAGTACAGGGACCAGGAGCCTAGTCCCCATGGTTACTCCAGAGTCAAGCTCTGGAGTGTTCGCTGGCCCCTGGTAGCGGTCAGCAGCGGACACAACATCCCCCCTGCCAGGAGAGCCACTCTGTGATTTTTCAACTTGTGTGCAGCAGAAAGAACATAAGAGAAGCCAATGTTGGACCAGGCCAATGGCCCATCTAGTCCAACACTCCGTCACACAGTGGCCAAAAATACCAGGTGCCATCAGGAGGTCCAGCGGTGGGGCCAGGACACTAGAAGCCCTCCCACTGTTGCTCCCCCCCCCCCCCAAGCACCAAGAAGACAGAGCATCACTTGCCTCAGCGGGGGGAGGGGCAGGGTCATGAAAGCCCAGAAGAGGTGTGTTTGCAGGTGGGAGAAAGAAGCAAGTAGAAGAGCCCCCATGTGCTGGTTCTGCCCACCTCCATCAGTGAGCAGGGTGGCTGGGTTCCCTACAGGAAGCGCCTCCCCACTGGTTCTGGTTGCCAACCTCCAGGCGGGGTCTGGAGTTCTGATATCCAGACTTCAGAGATCGATTGCCCTGGAGAAAACCGTTCCTTTGGGGGGAGGGGCGCTCTATGGCATTATGCCCTGCTGAAGTCCCTCCCTCCAGGAATTTCCCAGGCTGAAGTTGGCAACTCTACGCACTCAGCTTCTTCCCCATCTGGCGAAGGAGAAAAGATCAAACTATTAAAAACAAACAACAAGAAGAAGAGATTGGATTTATACCCCGCCCTTCACTACCCAAAGGAGTCTCAGAGCGGCTTACAAACTCCTTTCCCTTCCCCTCCCCACAACAGACACCCTGGGAGCAATGTTCCCTCTAAGCTGTGGAATTTTGTGAGCAAAAAATCTACTATGTTAGCGACTGACATTAAAGTTGTGAACAAGCGATCTGGCTACTTCCTGAGCTAAGATAAAAATGTGTGAGCCGGAGGCTGAAAAACTGTGAGCTAGCTCACACTAACTCAGCTTAGAGGGAACACTGCCTGGGAGGTAGGTGGGGCTGAGAGAGCTCTTCACAGAAAGTGCAAAGAAACAAAAAAAAATAAATTAAGAACAAACGCAATATAAAACCACAGCAAGCCATATGACAAAGTGGAGAAAAGGAAAGGAGAGCCGAAGGGGAAATTGACTCTGCAATATAGCATTTGGCGCAGAAACTGCCGAGGAAAGCTGCCCCCCCCCCCGTAGGTATGTGTATCTCCACGTCGTGCGTAACTACCTTATTCCGGGAGGCTGTCAATTCTGCACGCCCCTCCCTGCCCGGTCCCCTCCTCCGAAAACGGGCTCCAAGAGTGTGGTTTGGGGTGAGGGACAACTCTGAACTTCGGAGGGAGGGAGGGAGGGAGGGAGGGAAGAAAACGGGGAGGGGGGAGGCGCCCAGATTGGGGGAACTTGGCATCCCCAGGAAAGAAAGATGCAGAACGAGGGAAGGAGGAATTCAGGGTCTGGAAACAGACAGGGCTGGGGGGGGGGGGGTGTGGGGGGGGGGGGGGGGGGGGGGAATCGGATTCCTTTGCACCGTCTCCGAAGGCGACGTTTCCGAGGAAGTAGACTTGGGGTTCAGAGAAGGGTTAGCGATTTGCAAGTGCGAGCGGGAGTAAGGGATTTGGGATGGTCCCAAATCCCACCCCTCACACGTGAACATACATAAAGCTGCCTTATACTACTGAATCAGATCCTTGGTCCATCCAGGTCAGTAGTCAGACTGGCAGCAGCTCTCCCAGGTCTCCAGGAAAGGGTCTTTCACATCACCGCCTCCTCCTTTTAACTGGGGATGCCAGGAATTGAACTGTTCTCTCCAACAAGGAGCTGTGGTGGCTCAAGTGGTTAAGACGCTGAACTGCAGGCTGTGGAAGGTTCGAGACCCGGGTGCCGCATGATGGAGTGAGCTCCCATCTCTAGTTCCAGCTCCTGCCAACCTAGCAGTTCGAAAGCAAGAAATTGCAAGTAGATAAATAGGTACCACTTTGGTGGGAAGGGAACAGCGTTCCGTGCGCCTTGGTGTTTAGTCATGCCGGCCACATGACCACGGAAACGTCTTCGGACAGCGTTGGCTCTTCGGCGTTGAAACGGAGATGAGCACCGCAACCCTAGAGTCGGATTCGACTGGCTTTCAAGCAAGGGAACCTTTACCTTTACTCTAGCAACGGCCCCTTCCCATACACGAAGCTGCCTTAAACTGAATCAGAGCTTTGGTCCATCCAGGTCAGTCGTGTCTACTCAGACTGGCAGCGGCTCTCCCAGGTCTCCAGGAAAGAGGCTTTCAGGGGCTTTCACATCATCGACTGCCTCGTCCTCTTAACTGGAGATGCCAGGAATTGAACCAGGGACCTCCTGCATGCAAAGCAGGTGCTCTTCCACTGAGCAACGGCCCCTTCCCATACATGAAGCTGCCTTATACTGAATCAGACCCTCGGTCCAGCGAGTTCAGTGTTGCCTACTCAGACTGGCAGCAGCTCTCCAGGGTCTCAGGCAGAGGTCTTTCATATTCCCTACTGCCAGATCTTTTAACTGGAGATGCCGGGGATTGAACCTGGGACCTCCTGCATGCCAAGCAGAAGTTCTGCCACTGAGCCACGGCCCCTCACATTGCAGTCAAAATTCAGTGGATGGGAGATGTGGGGTGAAGTGCTTATGGGGGGGGAAGCGGGGAGGGGAGGTGTCATTTGTGTGATATATGTGGTTTCCCCCCTCCTTGAAGGGATGTTTGTCAATTTTGCTGGACTTGTTAAGCTATAAAGCGAGTTTTGTTTGTTTGAATAATGACAAAGAGAAACCCACCAGGACTGAGGGAAGAAGAAAAGCACATTCCTTTCTCCCACAAGTCCTCCTCAGACAAAGACTGTGGCCCAGCTAGGAACAGAAGAAGCAAGTAGACCTTCCCACCATCGATCCAGAGGACGCACCGAACCGTTAAAGTGACTGCACCCTCCTTCCCCTTTCCTTTGTCTCACCCCTTCCCCAAGAGGTGTCACTCCTTGCCGCCCTTCACTACCCAAAGGCGTCTCAGAGCAGCTTACAATCTCCTCCCCCTCCCCCTCCCCACAACAGACACCCTGTGAGGTAGGTGGAGCTGAGAGAGCTCTGAGAGAACTGCTCCTGAGAGAACAGCTCTGAGAGAACAGTGACTGACCCAAAGTCACCCAGTAGCTTCATGCGGAGGAGTGGGGAATCAAGCCCGGTTCTCCCAGATTAGAGTCCGTGTTCCTAACCACTACACCAAACTGGCTCCCCCCATGCTGTTATACATAGCTGCGACAAAATTAAATCTTTGGTAAATGACATATGCTTGAGTGAGAGGGGCAGAAAGAGAATAGTGTTTATTGATTTTAATTTGAGGTGGGTAGCCCTGTTGGTTTGCTGTAGGACAGCTAGATGCACATCCAAGGGTGCCTCAGAGACGAACAAGATTTCCAATATATAAGCTGTCAAGAGTGACAAAGGGAGTTTTGACTCTCAAAAGCAAAAACCCTGGACATCTTGTTGGTTGCTAAGGTGCTACTAGATTCCAATCCTGTTGATTTTAAGGTGTTGTCAGAGGATCTGATGGTAAGGAAAGCAATCAAAAAGGCTTGGAAAATCCTCCTTGCTTCACACAGATGGCGTCCTCATTTTATTCTCACAACAACCTTGTGAGGTGGGTTAGGTTGAGAAACTGGTCCAAGTTACCCTGTGAGTTTCAAGACTGGGTGGGGGATTCAGTTCAAAAAGGATGTGGACAGAATGGAGCGGGTGCAGAGGAGAGCGAGGAGGATGATCAGGGGCCTGGAGACCGAGCCCTGTGAGGAAAGGCCGAGGGACTTGGGAATGTTTAGCCTGGAGAACAGGAGGTTGAGGGGGGACATGAAATTCATGATTGCTCTCTTGAAGTATTTAAAGAGCTGTCACTTAGAAGAGGGCAGGGAGCTGTTGGCAGCAGAGGATAGGACTTGCAATAATGGGTTTAAATTAAGGGCAGAAAGGTACCAACTGGATATTAGGAAAAACTTTTTTACAGTAAGAGTTGTGCCACGGTGGAATTGGCTGCCTAGGGAGGTGGTGAGCTCCCCCTTCCTGGCAGTCTTTAAGCAGCAGCTGGACAAACACTTGTCAGGGATGCTCTAGGCTGGTCCTGCATTGAGCAGAGGGTTGGACTAGATGGCCTGGTTGGCCCCTTCCAACTCTGTGACTCGATGATTGTAAGGTTTGTCAGTTTCATTACACGAGGTCGAAATGGACAAGTTCATTTTTCTGTACATTATTGTTGTTGTTGATATTAAAATGTTACCAGGACTAAGATCCCATAATGATTGTAATGTTTTGATTTATCCCCCCCCCCCCCCCCCCCCCAGTTTTGTTCATGGGAGGAGAGATATTGCCTTCATACCCTGTTTATGGGTTTCCTGGAGGCATCAGACCTGTGGGCTTTTGAGGGAAAAGATGTTGGATTAAATGTGTCTTTGGTCTTCTCTGACCCAGGAGGGTAAAGGGTGAAAAAGGAAAATCCCTGTCAAAGATACACTATACGTCAAAGCTGTTGCACTAGTTCAGAGGCGTTGAACTCATTTGTTACGAGGGCCAGATCTGACATAAATGTCAGGCTGGGCTATGTGTGCCATAAAATGTAATGCTAGGTAAAAAGGTAAAGGTCTCCCTTGCTCGAAAGCCAGTCGAATCCGACTCTAGGGTTGCGGTGCTCATCTCCGTTTCAAAGCCGAAGAGCCAGCGCTGTCCGAAGACGTTTCCGTGGTCATGTGGCCGGCATGACTAAACACCAAGGTGCACGGAACGCTGTCTCCTTCCCACCGAAGTGGTTCCTATTTATTTACTTGCAATTTCTTGCTTTGGAACTGCTAGGTTGGCAGGAGCTGGAACTAGAGACGGGAGCTCACTCCATCATGCGGCACCCGGGTCTCGAACTGCTGAACTACTGACCTTCCACAGCCTGCAGTTCAGCGTCTTAACCAAGATATAAACTGTATAAGGGACAGCAGCTGGTAAGCTCTGAGTTGGTGTACCCTCACTGCAAGGCTTCATGGGCTGGGAGGGAGGTGCAAATGAAAATCCATGTGGGCACAGTGGAGACCTAGTGGTGCAGCACTGGGCAGATGCTCCCATGCTCTTGACTGCTGCAGACGAGGTTGTTCTGCCATGTTGAAGTCTCAATCCTAGTGGCTCCCCCCACTCCCCCCGAAGTCTCCTGTTCCCTCCCTTGCACCAGTTGCTCGCAGGGTGCATAAGAGCCCCGGATGGGCCAATTCTGGCCCGCAGGCCTTATGTTTGTCACCCCTGATCTAGTTCATTACTTACTGTATAGATAATTGGATGATTCTTCTTTCTAGGGGAACTGGTTGGTTAGCATGGGATATAATTTCAGATGGATAACTTTGAAAGATCGACAAAGCTTTTCCAGGGTATAAGCTTCCGAGAGTCAAAGAGCTCCCTTCATCAGAGACAAGTAGGAATGGAGATCTCAGAGTCCTTATCCCCCTGTCAGAAGGTGGGAGAGGTGTGGCAAAAAAGGGAGTCAGGATGCATTGGTACAGTACAAAATGGGGGATAGAATTGCTTATCTGCTGTTTGTTAAAAATAAAAGTACATTTGATCAAGTTACGTTGTTTGCATTAGTGTCAAAGAAAACTCGAGGAAGGGCCGTGGGGAAATAGAGGCCTCTAAAATGCTCCTTCTGTATTTTAATAGACGGGCTGCCCCGTCCTACGGTCTAATACATCCCATAAAACTTCTAAAGCCTCATCCTGGGGAATGTTAGTGTATAATGAAACTACATCTAGAGTGGCAAAAATAACTTCCTCTGTCTGTAACTGCAAATCATTAATGTGGTTAAGGAAATCCATGGTGTCTCTTAGATATGAGTGTGTGGTATGTACAAAGGGCTTAAGAAAGAGGTCCAAATATTGGGCCAAGGGTTCTAAAATGGACCCACATCCTGAAACTATAGATCTACCAGGGACAGGACTGGTGCCTTTGAATTGTTGGTAAAAGGTAAAATTGTGGCACCCTTTCTTCTGAATTCAGGAGGTAGTCATGTCTAGTTTTATCAATGTAACCTTCTGCTAGACCTTCCTCTAACATGTCCTGTATATCTTTCTTAATGATCTTTGATGGATTTTCTTTGGCCTTTTGGTAATGAGCTGTATTATTCAGTTGTCTATAGACTTCAGTAATATAGTCCTCTCTGCTCCAGACAACCATCGCCCCTCCCTTATCAGCTGGTTTGATAATAATGTCTTTTCTTTGCTCTAACTGTTTTAAGGCTTGATGTTCCATCCTACTCAAATTATGCCAAACTGATAACGTTTTCTGTTCCAAATTCTGTATTTCCTCTAATACCAATTCCTGAAAAGCTACAAGTCTAGGATTTTTAGTAGCTGGATTGAAGGTAGACTTGGGTTTTAAACTATAAATGCTGGACTCTGGAACCCTGTTTTCAGTATGATCTTTAAAGAAATCAGCTAGTCTAATCTTTCTAAACATACTCTGTATTTCCACCATAAGTTGAAATGTATTACGTGGAGGTGTAGGAACAAAGGACAGGCCTTTACTTAATATTGAAAGTTCTAGCTCTGTCAGCTGGACTTTGGACAGACTGACTACCTGTGGGTTGTCTGGCCTCTCCTCTTGTATCTGGGTCTGTATTCTTGAGGTGTGAACCTCTTTCCTGACCTTAATTCCCTGTCCTGTCCTAAAAAATTGTTGTTTCTTTTCAAAATAGAATGGTGGGAGTTGTTCTGGCTAGTTCTCTGTCCCGAGGTTGTCTCTGGATGTACACTGCTCTCATACTCCGAACTGGTATTTAAGGTGGTATCAAAAGAGACAGATTTCTTGCTATTGCCAGTTTTTCTCTGTGATAGACAATCACAGACCCTACCTTCTTCATAATCCTTCAAGTCTCTCTGATATTTGTGGAGTTTGACATCTTTTAATTCTAAGAATTGTTTATGAATATCCTTATCCAAAGCTTCCAAATGTTCAGAGAGGTCCCTCTCACTTATAAGATGCTACTTGCTCTTTTCTGCTGCTAAAGGTAAAGGTTCCCTTGCTCGAAAGCCAGTCGAGTCCGACTCTAGGGTTGCGGTGCTCATCTCTGTTTCAAAGCCGAAGAGCCAGCGCTGTCTGAAGACGTTTCCGTGGTCATGCGGCCGACATGACTAAACACCAAGGCGCACGGAACGCTGTTACCTTCCCACCGAAGTGGTCCCTAATTATCTACTTCCAATGTCTTGCTTTCGAACTGCTAGGTTGGCAGGAGCTGGAACTAGAGATGGGAGCTCACTCCATCATGCGGCACTCGGGTCTCGAACTGTTGAACTACTGACCTTCCACAGCCTGCAGTTCAGCGTCTTAACCACTTGAGCCACCGCAGCTCCCTTTTCTGCTGCTACAGACTAACATGGCTACCTGTCTTGATCGACTTCTAAGTTGTTCCTCTTTACCACGTAGATCCTGTGATATGGTGAGAGGCTATTGCTACAGGATCAGTCACAAGGTGGCCAGGATGAAAATGGAAGAGCAAGAGTTGGCAAGCTCCAGGCTGAAGGGAAAATTCGAAGGAGCAGGAAAATCTCATGTCCACCAGGCTGGGAGTATCCAGGAATTCCTGCAGAGGAGACCGGGGGAACATATTAAACGTGAACAGGATGAGAGACAGTTTCAGCAATGGGAAGACCAGTTGCAGGATTTTCTGAAGACCGTGGAGTCCCCTCAGTCAGGCTGGGGAGCCCCACTGACACCAGAGGAGACCTCTCCCTGGGATGACACCAAGGCCTTTCTGGCTTCCTTCGAAGAAGTGGCCGAAGCCTGCCGGTGGCCCAGAGAAGAGTGGGTGACCCGACTCCTGCCAGCCCTCAGCGGAGAAGCTGAGCAGGCCTTTAGCAGGCTAGATCCCAGAGACAGAGAGGATTATGGGAAAGTGAAGGCTGCCCTTTTACGAGGGGATGCCATGAGGAGAGAAAGGATGCGCCAATATTTCAGGTGTTTCCGCTACCAGGAGGCCGAGGGGCCGAGAGGGGCTTACAGCCGGCTCTGGGAACTTTGTCACGGTTGGCTGAGGGTAGAGAAACACACCAAGGAGCAGATCTTGGAGCTGCTGGTCCTGGAACAGCTTCTGACCATCTTACCCCAGGAAATGCAGAGCTGGGTGAGGGAACGAGGGCCGGAGACCGGTGTTCAGGCGGTGGCCCTGGCTGAGGACTTTCTGCTGAAGCAGCAAGAGCAGGAATAAACAGGTGAGACAGTTTCATCGTGATGTTTGTGAGTGATCCACAGTAAAGTAAGACTGGAGATAAACTACCTTTTTTGACCCAGACAGTTCTAAAAAGGGATGCTGCTTATGGTTTGTAAAAACTTTAGTTCTGGTGAACGGGTTCTAAATGATGGCTCCTTGAAGACAAGAATTTAGGGTTTCCAGGCCAGAAGTTACGACGGGCAGGGGTCATTTCCTGCAGGAGCGCACAGCGGCAGTAAAGAGCCCAGGGGGCGGGCACATGCCACAAGCCCCACCCCCTGCTCCCAGCAGCCCTCAGTGAGAGCAAGAAGCAGCCAGGTTAGTTGTAGAGCTCCCCTCCCCCATTCCAAAACAGTCCAGTGGCACCTTTAAGACCCAGTTTTATTCAGGTACAAGCCCTCCCTCCTCTGCGAGGACAGATCTGCACGTTCCCCCCCCCCCCCATAGCTAGCAATCCAAAACAGTCCAGTGGAGCCTGAGCGGTGGGTGTTGCCTTCTGACACACTTCCGGTGATGTCAGGGTGTGTGGCATATGCAGATAAGTTATGCTAATGAGTTATGCTAATGAGCTCCTGCACCTCTTTTTCTACGAAATGACCCCTGACGACGGGTAGCTCTAGGAATCACCAGAAACTCCGGCGATTTCAAGAATTGCCTGCAATCACTTCTGGGTTTTCCTTGAAAGTGACATAATGGCACATGCAACACTGCCATTTAATACCTCAGCCTGCCTCAGTCGCTACGTGGATTGGTGAAGGGCAGTGCCCTACCAAGGAAATGGTAAGCCTTAGACAAGATAGAACTTTAGAAAATTTTGTACAGCAGGGGAAAGTGGATAGCCAGCACTTTTCCTAAGCATTCTAAAATACTAGTGGTCACTCAGTGAAGTTAACGGCTCAGAGAGAGATAAGAGGAAGCTCCAGCAAGGAGAGCCAGCATGGTGTAGTAGTTACACTGTAGGACTAGGATGTGTGGGACCCAGGTTTGAATCCTGACTTGTGTCATGTAAGCTTGTTGGTTGACCTTGGGCCAATCACACACTCTCGGTCTAACCTACCTCAAAGGGTTGTTGTGAGGATAGAATGGAGGACAGGAGGACGAGGTAAGCCACTTTGGGTTCCCACTGGAGAGAAAGATAGGGTATAAATGAAGTATAATCAGGGGTCATTTTGTAGAAAAAGAGGTGCAGGAGCTCATTAGCATAACTCATTTGCATATCTCATTTGCATATGCCACACCCCCTGACATCGCCGGAAGTGTGTCAGAAGGCAACACCCACCGCTCAGGCTCCACTGGACTGTTTTGGATTGCTAGCTATTGGGGGGGGGGTGGAACGTGCAGATCTGTCCTTGCAGAGGAGGGAGAGCTTGTACCTGAGTAAAACTTGGTCCTAAAGGTGCCACTGGATTGTTTTGGGCCGAGGGGAGCTCTGCAACTTACCTGGCTGCTTCTTGCTCTGACTGAGGGCTGCTGGGAGCAGGGGGTGGGGCTTGTTGCATGTACCCGCCCCTTGGGCTCTTTACTGCCGGAGCTCCATTCCTGTCCGCTCCTGCAGGAAATGACCCCTGAGTATAATATTTATTTATTTATTTATTTATTATATTTATACCCTGCCCAACCCGCAAACAGGCTCAGGGCGGCTAACAAAATGGGCTCAGGGCGGCTAACATTATTAATAAATAATGTGTGTGTGTGTGTGTGAGAGAGAGAGAGACAGAGAGAGAGAGAGAGCGCGCAAGCCCTTGATCAGCATGGTCTTTTAAGGGTCCCTGTCCTGAGGACGAATTTAAATTTTGTCAGCTTGGAAGACACCAGAAGGCAGGAAGGGACGACAGTGATGTCCACTGGGAGACTGGATACTGTTGCATCAGCTTAGGTTTAGTTTCAATTTCCAGGTGAGGACTAGGCCATTTTACCCACCAAGAATAATAGAATCATAGAATCACAGAGTTGGAAGGAGCCATACAGGCCATCTGGTCCAACCCCCTGCTCAGTGCAGGATCAGCCTAGAGTATCTCTGACAAGGGTTTGTCCAGACGCTGCTTCAAGACTGCCAGTGGGAGGGGGGGGGACGACCCCACAACCTCCCTAGGCAGCTGATTCCACTGTTGCACAGTTCAAGCTGCATGCCCCCCTTCTCAGAAAGGGACCTTTTTGTCATTTCAGTTGCTGATGCCCTATTTGGAGGCAGCGGTGAGTTTCTCTGAAGCAGGACAGACTCTGTCTGAAACCAAGGCGAGACAGCTGTGCACAGAGGCCAAAAGGGGAGGTGATGCCAGCTTGTGGGGTAAGTCCCATTCCTTGTGCCTCTATCTCTGGACATTTAGAAATGACCGGCCCCGGTCACACGGGCCAGATATCGCGGGGGGAGGCGTGGCTAATTGCCCTGGCGCAGTTTGATCCGCGATTACATGATCAGTTGCGCCGGCGGCACACCACCAGATATCGCGGGGGGCGTGGCTAATTGCCCCGGCACAGTTTGATCCACGATTACGTGATCAGACGTGCCGGCGGCACACAACCAGATACCGCGGGGGGGGGGCGTGGCTAATTGCCCCCGCGTAGTTTGATCCGCGATTACGTGATCAGATGCGCCGGCGGCACACCACCGGTCTTTCCCTCAGTGCCGGCGGGTAAATGAGGGACCGGAGGGGAATGCCGCGTGCCGGCGCGATCACACCATGGGCGTCTGGAGGCAGCCCGTGGCAAACGTTTACTAGTAGCTTGGAGGTACTAGTTTTTTAACTCACATTGTTGCCGGTAAGCCACGGGTGCGCTCCACTTCCCAGATGTTGGGGTGTGATCGCGCCCGGATAATCCGCCCACCATCCGTGCCTCTCTCGCGGCAACTTTGCTGTGTGACTGGGGCCTCTGTAAAGTTACTCATCTCCTCCATTAAGGGGGTTCTGGGGCACCTATTCTCATATGTGTGTGTGTAAAAAGGAATACAAAATTTTAAAGATCAATAGTTTGTTCAGTAGTTCAATAGGATATTGGTATTGTGTTGACATTTCTGGTATTTTTTGTTTGTGTTCATTCTGCATGTAAATTCCAGATTCAAGTCCATTAATACATTAGAGACCAACACGTTTTTTTTGGGTATAAGCTTTCAGGAGTCAAAGCTCTCTTCATCAGATAAGGTAACCCATGAACGGAGCTTTGACTCTCGAAAACGTATACTCCAAAAATCTTGTTGGTCTCTAAGGAGCTACAGGACCCCAGTCTAGCTGTTCTCCTGCAGACCAACATGACGACCCTCTCCAAGTTAGGAAGAAATAGGGTATTAAGAAGAAGGTTTGGTTGGAACAGATTTGGTCCATCCTCTGCCATGACTCCCACCGGATGATTAGGGTTGCCAGCCAGCAGATTCCAGTTGGAATTTAGGGGGCGCCACACTGCATGATGGCATTATGCCATTTCTGGGGAAAACTTGGAATTGACATTGCACCTCTCTAGGTAAAACCATAGAGTGTCCAGCAATTCCTGGAGCGGCATGACATCACTTCCAGATTCTCCTGGTGGTGACATCATGCTGTTGTGCCTGTAGCAATGCTTTTTTTCTCCTGTGGCAACCTGAGCAGAAGCAGCAGGGCTATTTTTGGGCAGGAAGGCACAGGAACGGAGTTCCGGCTGGCTTCAAAGTTGGCCACACCCACTACAGCCAAAACATCTGCGTGCGTGGCTACAGAGGGAAGGCCTGGAGAGTGACCCTCCCCCCAGCGACTCCAAGGCGGGCGGGCCAGGGGGGGCCCTGGAAGGATCGGGGAGACATTTAAATGCCTCCCTGTGCCTCCCCTGGCCTGTCCAAGGGCCGGCTTGCTCGGGCTCCCCGCAATTGTGGGGCACGCAGGCAAACGAAGGGGAGGCATGGGGTGTGGCCTAATATGCTAATGTGCTGTGATGTTGGGGCTGTAGCCTAATATGTTAATGAGTTTCTGCTGTTGGGTGTGGCCTATTATGCTAATGAGTTCCTGCTGGGCTTTTTCTACAAAAAAAGCCCTGACCAGCAGGCAATGGGAGCTGAGGGCTGGAGTTCTCCCACCCCCACCAGGTAAGTGGCAGTCCTATGGATGATCCTGCTGGCCAAGCCATTCACTGTCAGCTTAACCTTTCAGGGTTGTTGTGAGGATAGAATGGAGAAGAGAGAGCTGTTTGCTGCTCTGAGCTCCTTGAAAGAAAAAATGTCACAGATTTCTCTGAAGAGAGATTGATGTCACATGTTGTCTTCTTCATTCCGGCAGAACACGGACAAGTCTGTGAGGGTGAAGCACAAAAACATCTATTGGAGAGCCCAGAGCAGGTGGAACCATTCCCCAAAAGACCCAGAGAAGATTTCCCCCAGGGTCCCATGCGCTCGGATGCTTCTGAGCTTGAATACGGTCCAAAGATACAATCAGGTGACCAGCCCTACTTGGTTCCTTCAGATGATAAGGCCTTCAAGAGACGTCCACAGCCACACGAGCAAAGTTCACCTGGAGTGTCTGAGGAGGGTCCTAAGCCAGGCTCAGAGTTTGTTAAACATGAGATCACCCATGTTCAGGAAGCGCTATACCAATGCACCGAGTGCGGGAAGAACCTTAGTCGCAAGGACCACCTGAAGAGGCACCAACAGATCCATAGCAGGAAGAAGAAACCCCACCAGTGCTCTTATTGTGGGAAGTGCTTTCGGCAGAGGTCGGACCTGGTTTTCCACGAGAGGATCCACACGGGAGAGAAACCACACAAGTGCTCCATCTGTGGAAAGGACTTCAGAAGCACCTGCCAGCTGATTGTCCACGAGAGGATTCACACCCGGGAGAAACCCTACAAGTGCTCGGCCTGTGGCAAGAGCTTCAGCCAGAATGCAAACCTCACTGTCCACCAAAGGACCCATACGGGCGAGAAGCCGTACAAGTGCTCGGCCTGCGAGAAGACCTTCATACAGAAGTCGCACCTCATGAAACACGAGAGAACCCACGCCAGGGAGAAGGCGCTCAAGTGTCTCGCTTCCTTTGGAATGAGCTTCTTAAACTGACACTGAGGGGGAAATCACAGACTGAGAGGGAAGCAGTTTGGTGTCGTGGTTAAGTGTGCGTACTCTAATCTGGGAGAACCGGGTTTGATTCCCCACTCCTCCACTTGCACCTGCTGATGTGACCTTGGGTCAGTCACAAGCTCTGGCACAGCTGTCCTTGAAAAAGAGCAGTTTGTGTCAAGAGCTCTCTCAGCCCCACCCACCTCACAGGGTGTCTGTTGTGGGGAGGGGAAGGGAAAGGAGTTTGTAAGCCGCTCTGAGACTCCAAGTGAAGGGTGGGGTATAAATCCAATCTCTTCTTCTTCTTCTTCACTTGTTTTCGAATGCGTTCCTTGTCTTCCAGAAAAGATTCTGGAGAAGATGCTACCAGTTGTGGGCAAGTTGCCATAACATTCTCACAGGACGCCAAAGCATACCTCCCTAGCCCCATTTCCTCAGGGAAGCTGCCTCAGACCATTTAAGAAGAAGAAGGAGAAGAACAGTTGGAGCGGTTCCTTAGTGGAACAGGCTCCCTCGGGAGGTGGTGGGCTTTCCTTCTTTGGAGTTTATCAAACAGAGGCTAGATGGCCATCTGACAGTAATGCTGATTCTGTGAATTTAGGCAGATCATGAGAGGCAGGGAGGGTTGTTGTATCAGTGCTTAGTTCTCATGGCCCCTTCTTACATGCCCAGGGAAATGCCAATCGCCACTTTGGGGTCAGGAAGCAATTTTCTCCAGGCCAGTTTGGCCAGGGGTCCTGGAGAGGCTCCCTCCCTCTTCTGGGCATAGAACAGGGGTATTTGTGAATTTCCTGCATTGTGCAGGGGAGTTGGACTAGATGCCCCTGGAGATCCCTTCCAACTCTATGATTCTGAGATTCTAAGGGTTGGTTTTATACCCCACTTTTCTCTACTCTAAGGAGTCTCAAAGCAGCTAACAATTGCCTTTTTCTTCCTCCCCCTACAACTGTCCTCTTGTGAGGTAGGTGGGGCTGAGAGAGTTCTAAGAGAACTGTGGCTGGCCCAAGATCACCCAACAGGCTTCATGTGGAGGAATGGGGAATCAAGCTCGGTTCTCCAGATTACAGTCCACTGCTCTTTGCCACTACACCATGCTGGCTCTAGGTCAGACTCTGTGGTTCTTGGGCCTAACCTAACTAATCCTGTCAGATCTCGGAAGCTTAGCAGGGTCGGATGGGAGACCACCGAGGAGCTCTCTGCAGAGGAAGGCCATGGCAAACCATCTCTGCGTCTTACTTGCCCTGAAAGCTGCTTGCTGGAGTCACCATAAGTTGGTTGTGACTTGATGGCACTTAGATACATATGTGCAGGGGTCATTTCGTAGAAAAAGAGGTGCAGGAGCTCATTAGCATAATTCATTAGCACATTTGCATATGCCATGCCCCCTGACATCACCGGCAGCGTGTCAGAAGGCAACACCCACTGCTCAGGCTCCACTGGACTGTTTCAGATTGCTAGCTATGGGGGGGGGGGGGCCG